GTGCCCAAAGGCCAAGGCCCTACACCGCCGAAGACGCTTCTTGGCTGTTCTCTCACCTTCCCCCGGATCTTCATCTCAGTCATCATCTCCCTCAGCCATCACATCATCCATTCCTTTTCCCTCCTCCCTTTTCCTCCTATCCGTCTTCTCTCCTTCACCTCCTCGTTCCTATCCATCTCCGTCTCCTCCGTCTCCTCCGTCTCTTCCGTCTCCCGTCTCCCGTCTCCCATCTCCCATCTCCCATCTCCCATCTCCTATCTTCTCTTCGTCCGTCTTCTCTCCCCATCATCACCTCCTCCTTTCGCCCCATCTCCCACCTACTTTGTTTCGCCTCCTCTTCGAACCCCATCCAGCTACGACCCATCTCGAATCCGGAATGAGAGTGTACTAGTTCAAGGACGAAAGATCTCGTATCCACACTTCTTGGTCCGCTTCGTTGCGGTGCACTGCTCTCCTCCGTTCTCCTTCTCTCACCTCCCAAGTCCAACGACCTCGCTTCTCTCGCTTCTGTCAAGAACACCAAAGGAGCTTTCCTTTTTGGTCATCGTCAAAATCATCTCTTTTCGTCTCGTTAGGACCAACCAAGCGCCCTCTTCCTCCTGCTGTCGGTCGGTTGAGTCTTTAGAGCAGCCGAGGGATTCGTTGTGGTCCTCAAGCACAGGGCCTTCAAAACACCACCGCTTTGTGATCACAGTCATCAAGCCGGCAATCACCCTCAGATGTCATCTGTTCGACAAGTGCATCGGTAACAGACCTTCGAGTCGTCAGTGACGGTTTGCTACGCAGGCCCTTTGGACATCAAATAAACCCGCTCAGACCTTACCTTGACGTGTGGATATTCTCTTTTTGTCTGAAGCTGAGCCCAACCTTGCCTGTGTCGCCCTCTGGATCCGTGACTCATCGTCTTCTGTTATTGTTGTTTGAACCAAGTGTCCTCCTTCCGTTCCATACAAGGCCCTTGATTCAGCAGCACCTTCCATCTCCAACGAACCTTCCAGCCAGGTGTTCGAGGTTCTCCAACCACCTGTAATAAGCCTCTCTAATTCTTCGCCTTTTCTTCATTTCCAATCACGAACTTCTAACGCAGCGATTTAATCTCAACTCTCTTCTTACTTCTCTTGACGTTTTAGGCATACTGGTTTTATTCCACTACTCGACCGTCGACTGTCAATTGCCACCCACCTTCTTTTCCCTTCATTTTCTAGGATCCAGTCCAGAA